AAGAACTGAAAGGAGAAACTTATTCCACAGTTCTGCGTCATTGAGAAAGACACAAGCAGCATTTTTTTTCCACCAGAGGTGATGGCACATAAACTCATTCACTTTAAAAAAAAAAAAACCATGAAGAAAGCAAAGATAAGAGGAAAATAATTAAAATTTCATATCTATAAAGGAACTATGGCCAGAGGCTTCCTCTGGTGTGTTAAAAGTTGTAAAGATATATAGTATACCCGTATTAGGAGAAAGGAAGGGGGACAGCGAAACCATGGAATGGAGAGAAATGGAACCAAGCAACATTTAAACATGGGATGAGAGAAAGAAGGAAGAATGAGGAAAACGGAGAAAAAGGCTTTATAGGAAAGGGAAGGGAAGCAATTAGACAGTCAGGAGAAGCAACAAGGGGAATCAAAATGTAAGCTGAATTCCTGGCAACGGATTTACATACTTTCAGCTGTTGGCAATAAAATGAGCATGAATAAGGAAGTGGCAAGTCAAGCATCATGATCTTGGAGCCAATCCAAGCATATTTTGATCAAAATATATCAGGCCATTCTATTTAACTCTGCTTCTGAATAAAATACAGGATGTGATGAGAGGATTGGTTAGATGATGACCAGAACAGTGCAATGGAAAAGCTGAGCATTCTTCACACTCCCTATAAAACACCAGTTCTTGTTCAGATCAAGTGGACTTTGGCTGGAGAACTTGTAGTTCTCTCACTTTCTGTATGCCACCCAGAGTTGCTTTTCATGAGACTTAAATTTCCTTTAGAATTAGACTCAAGAACCAAGATTCAAATCCTGGCATCTCTGAGAAGACCATTGGACTGAGATTCTTTTCTATACTTTTTTTAAAAACCATTTTCATTCCATTTGATGGCAAAGAAATTGCTTTGGATTTTTTTTTCACCCCCCAACAGAGCTGCATCACTCTAATTACAATATGTGCAATATTCTTTACTGTGCAATTATCTCTCCAATTGCCTGCAGCCTCCCTGATTTCCCAAGTCTAAATAAATTCCAGAGGAAATATCACAGCGAACTCCTCCTCCAAGGCTGAACAGAAGGATGAGGTGTCCTTAATGCTCTTTGAGCTGGGCGGTATTCTTGCAGATATTTCATCACCCAAATCAGGTAACATCATCTAGATCAGGAGTCAAACTCATGGCATCATGTTGTCATCATGTGACATATTCCTACTTTTTTCTCCTTCACTAAACTGGGAGTGGGCATGACCAGCATGTGACACATCTGGCCCATGGGCCATGAATTTGACACCCCTGATCTAGATCCTCTGCAAGGTTCTAGAGCAGCCAGGTAGGCTACTAAGCAAGAGAAGGATGCACAAAATAAAAGGAAAGAAAGCAACAGCGCACTCCACTAATCACTTGCAGTATTAAAATAAGCTTTAAAATGTCACCCAAAGAAATCTGAACAAGCTAGAATAGAATCTTTTTTTCCTAGAGGTGTTGGCGGAAATTGGTTGGCAGAATTCCAACCACAAACTAGCCCAAAAGAGACTCCTGCATGAAAGCTGGAATGTGGCTGTCACTCACAGTGATAACCATATTAGATGCAGCAAGAGTTTGAAAAAGCTAAAGCACTTTCCTCTGTTCTTCTTTGGCTCTCAGCCCTTGACTGCCACTTCACAACTTCTCATGGTCCCTCCTCCTTGGTTTGGCTCTGCTGTTCTACAAACCAAATCTTTTTGGTCAGAACAATCTATTGAGTTCCATGTTTATTACTCATACCAGTTGATGAACAGCTATAAACATTTACAGAGGAACATGTGGAAAACTTTATTGTTGCAATCAGGAAAATATGAGCAAGGAATTCTCCATTAAGTTCCGATATCTGAAAAGCTCTCTTATAACGTGTACAAATTTAATGCTATGGCACGTGCACATTTGTTGCTGACATGTCAAATAAAGACATGCAACTGAACATACCGTAAACATCTGGGGGGAGGCAGTGATCATGTCACCTTTGAATCTCATTTAATTTTGGCAAGTGACTTAGCAGAGAACTGTCATGCCATGTTAATTCATTTTACTAATGGGAGGGAAATTATTTCCAAAACAGTACAACAGAATCCAAATATGGGAGCATTAAAATTAGCAGAGCACCTGAATAAAACAATGATAAGCAGACAAGCATGCATGGCCTACAACAGGGGTGTCAAACTCATGGCGTCATGGCAGCGTCACATGATGTATCAGGATTCCCCCCTTCGCTAAAGAGGGCGTGGCCAGCGCATGATGTATCTGGCCTGTGGCCGCGAGTTTGACAGCCCTGTCTACAAGAACACTTATTTCCAGATATGTGGAACAATGTAGGTTCTTTAAGGGTGGCATACAATAACGCTAAGTATTCATGGCGAAGCTCTCTAGTTAGCACAGCTGCTCATAAGCAAGTTTCCCAAAATATCACAGGTCCTGCTGCTGGAAAGAACATTAATTTCCTGCCAACTTAGAAAGAAGGTGGCCAGCTGAGGCCACCTTGGACGAAGGGCCACTCAGGCATTCTTTATAACAAAGCAACCGATTGTATTTGATTGTGTGAAGCAGCTCTAGCTTTCAAATTAACAAGGGAGCAACAATTATTGTTCATCATATGATGTAGCTTTTGTGGCTAATTTGCACTTTGTTCTTGGTGGTTTGGTTTTGGCTTCTGTTCTTTCCTCTTAATGTTTTATACCCCTGACTGGGACAAGGGGGAGGGGGAGGAGGAGGGGAGAGGTGGAGAGGGAGAGGGAGAGAGAGAGAGAGAGATTGACTTCTCCAGAGGTGCTCACCCTTCCTACTTGGCACCTCGTACCCATGCAACAGTTACACGTCTCTCATGTAATTTCAGGGTTAAAAATCTGCTGGCAATCAACAGGCGACCTTCTTACACTCCAGCAAGAGAGGTTGGGTGAAAATAATTTTTTAAGCAGTTCATAGAAGTTCAAGCATAATTACTGCTCCCATCCTTCCTGCCTTCATCTGGCATTCAGCCAGAAAAAGAAAAAGGGCAAAGGATTTCATCAAGGCTGGAGGCAGTGTCATGGGGAAGAAAAGAAAAAAAACCCTACCAAGGGAAATATTCAGCCCACTTATTTGGGTTCTGATGATCATGCGGATTTGCAGGTGCTGATTTAGCTGGCATCCTTCCCAGTATGGACTCAGGATGGCTCAGGTGGAAGCTGGAAGAGACTCAGATGATACAACTGGTCCAGGCGTGGGGTGCTAATTAGGAGGCAAAAGATCAACTGGAGTGGCAACTGTTAGCCATTTAGTGCTACCTGTTCAGCCCTCCACCCTTGTTTTGAAACTGGAAGCTCCAAGCTTCGTTCCATTCCTGTTCTCAGCAAGCTCCTAAGATTTAATCAACGAATCGCTGCTATGCTTGAGGTGCTGTTAATGACTGGCAGGAGAAAGACATTCTTTTTTTCTTCCAACAATAGAGAGCCTCCCTCTCTATTTCTTGCAGAGCTCAAGATTTCAAAAGTTCTTGTTCTTCCAGAGGTGTTTTTTTTTTTTTCAAAATACCTCTGAACTATAATAATGCATGATTGACCCAGGCAGACACATTAGCCAGTCCACAATAAGCTGGTTTAAGGACAGCACTACCCATTGAAAGAAAGGAACTATGGCTCATAAAACTGACATTGCATTAATCTGGTGAAGTGATCCATTAGCTTTTGAAGGTGCAGCTCTAGAATAGCAGGCAATAACACTTAAGACTTATATACCTCTTCATAGTGTTTCGTAGCCTTCTCTAAACAGTTTACAGGGTTAGCATATTGCCCCCAACAATCTAGGTCCTTGTTTAACCAACCTTGGAAGGATGGAAGTCTGAGTCAACCTTGAGCCGGTCAGGACTGAACTCCTGGCAGTGGAAATGCAGAGTTAGCCACTTCTAACCACTGGGTCACCACAATGCATCAGTGTTGGGATCCAAATACAGGCTGAAGAGGATCCCTCTAGTTTGTATGAAGAGCAGTTATGGTAGATACTGCTGAGTTTTCTTGACCCAAGTTTAGAGCTGCCTAAACCAGCAAGCAGCAAAGACAGAGACAATTCTGTACTGCTTCACTGCCCTGGAATTTGGCAGCAAAGCTGTAGTAGTCCTTCCACAGCTGCTCTTATTTTGCAAGGACCAGCCATAACCCAACCTGAGTATGTTATAAGCATATAACACATTTAAACTCTATGCATGCCTTGAGCAAAAGCAAGAGGATTTTGTCTTCCAATATTTTCATGTTTTCTAGTCAGTAGAAAATGTTTCAGAATTTGGCTGAAACTTATTTTACCTAGCACACCATCCTAAATAAATCTCCAATTTTGCTAATACATAATATTCATCATGTTCCATTTGTCTTTGGCTCTTCTTACTCTCCTAACCAGGAACTCATACATTTTACTAAGCCCAGGGCAAGTTCAATAACAGCAGACCACATTTCAAAAACTGAGATGGCAGCAATCGCTTCTTTATGCAACAACAATAACTTACAGGGTCTTTCCATATGCAAGAGCTGAAGTGATCCTGGAGGGAACAATAGGTGTCTATAAGTCATAACATCATCCAAACGACACGTGATGTCATTATATTAATGATGCATTAAATGCTAGTATCATGACCTCTGGTACAAAAGCATAAGTTGTATTATTTGCATGGTGTCATGAGGACATACAAGTCATAGTTTCCTCTGTACATACCAATGTATGGGGCTATGTTCCTGTACCCTCTATGAAAGTATGGGATTTTCAGAGGTTTTTGTGAATTGAACCAATTAACTGCTTGTGGAAAGAAATGTAGTGGCTGTTCTTCCAGAGTATGGAAGAGACAACTTCCTAGTGGAAATTCCAACTTTTGGCTTCTGGAATTCTCTTTACTCCATAAGCCAAGATGCTAGGGTACTTTCTACCATCTTCAAGACAAAGCTTTGACATTCCCCTTACTTCTTTTCTTGGTACAAAAACAAACATCAAAAGGAAACAATAACACAGAGGGAGGTATTGGCTGGAGTTCTAGTTTTCTGCTCCCTCATTGGTCAACCATCCACCTAATACATCCATGACAAACTGAGACTGCATTAAGGTGACAATATGTGTGTCATCAGGTCATGATTGAGACAGTTCCCTTGTTTGCAAGCCCTCATTTCAGGGACAAATAGTTTCTTCCACCTGAAGGAATGCCATTCAAATGCTTGGTTTCATTAGTATACAATTAAATCAACATATGATGGCTCAGTGGCTAAAATGCTGAGCTTGTCAATCAGAAAAGTCTGCAGTTCGGTGGCTCGAGTCCCTAGCATCACATAATGGCATGAGCTCCTATTACTTGTCCCAGCTTCTGCCAAACTAGCAGTTCAAAAGCATGTGAAAATGCAAGTAGAAAAATAGGGACCACTTTGGTGGGAAGGTAACAGCATTCTATGCACCTTCAGCATTTAGTCATGCTGACCACATGACCATGGAGATGTCTTCGGACAGCACTGGCTCTTTGGCTTTGTAACGGAGATGAGCACCACCCCCTAGAGCCAGAAATGACTAGCACGTATGTTCGAGAAGAACCTTTACCTTATATGATTATTGTCCTGTTGCTTATTTCATTGTTCTCCCTTTTTTGCCACATTAAATATTACAACTATGTCAAAGCCTTTGAAGGCCTGCAGGAGCCACAACTATTCATGTAGCTCAGTCCTCAAGGGATGCCTTCTTGTCTTTAAACCATGCAAGATATATGGAAACTTCAGGATGGCCTAAATGACATTTGCCTTGAAATCATGAACTGGATAAGAAAAGTCTTGTTTTCATTCTATTTAAGAGCTACATTCCTCCTTTTTTCCTGATTTGACTTCTATATCAGATTTATTAAAGTGTATCCAAGGTGGAGCCAGACTGAATCATCTGTGTCTACTCATGCTTAAACGTTTTTGGTATATTGAAAGCTCCAAGGCTAAAGATATTCATTTAAGGAATTCAAAACTCTCCACATGCCAAGAAAACAGGACCTTACTCTCAGATCAGAGCATCTGTAGCCACACTGCCCCTATCCAGTGTGTCAGAAAGCTTTCTGCACTTGGAAGCTCAGCACCCAGACTTTCCATTTAGCCCTTAAAAACAAAATCCTGGACCAGTTACATAACTCTTGCAAAAGGCTAGATTTTCTAAATAATGCCAAATATAGTCATATGAGAAAAGCGCCTGGCTTCTTGGATAGGGATTTCTGCAAAATAATTTCTTCAAATTGGATCAACCTCTTGAAATCTTCAGCAAGATTTACAATCCAGTATTCCTCAACTCATACTTTTTAAAATACTGAATTAAATCTCACAGAATCCATAATTAGCAGGCTTCTTGTGGATTATTCCCAGTTGTAGGTAAACATAAATGACCACACAAAAAGGGTGCCAGGTTTTGAACTACCACATCAGCAATGGACACTCCCAGTGGTGGGATTCAATTTTTTTTACTACTGGTTCTGTGGGCGTGGCTTGGTGGGCATGGCAGGGGAAGGAAGGATACTGTAAAATCTCCAGTCAGGGGTGGTATTTGCTGGTTCTCCGAAATACTCAAAACTTCCGCTACCAGTTCTCCAGTTCTGATATACCACCCCTGGACAATCCTGAATAAAATTCATACCTCGTACGGTGTTTGGCAGGACTCTCGGTATAAACGCGGCACAGTATCTTCCCCTCAGTGTGACTGCAGTGCAGGGACCCATGTCAAAGTGTAGATCACATTGTCACCGGCTATAAATGGAGGACATATGCTGGCCTAGCATCTGATTTTTTTTTAATATAAACAATGCTGTGCTTCAATGATTAGATGGCCTAGTCATTGGTATTTGAACATAGATCTTTTAAACATTTATATTTTATTGGATTCTACCAGTGGTGTATTAACCATTAAGCACACTAAGCACTTGCTTAGGGCACCAGGCCCAAAGGGGGTGCCATAAAAACTTTTATGTAGCCTAAGCTTGACTTCATTTGAAGGGGGGCACCAAGACTTGTCAGTACTTAGGGACCAGTGAGCCTTAATCCGCCACTGAATTCTACTAATCTGGATGAACTGTCAATTTATGTTGTTAGTTCATAGTATGATATGCCACAGGCTAAATACATTATTCTTGGACCAAGCAATTTCACATGCCTGGAGAGCACCAAGCTATTGGAGTGAAATGTTTCTTCAAAGCTGTTTCCTGTTTTCCTTTTATGGACCTGGGCTCTGTAAATTCTGTGTAATCCAGAACAGTTTTACTTCCAGTTAAGCTGTTTGCCAGGAAATCTGGGTCCCAGATTTCCAAGGTAAAAATGATATGAACTGGATATCCCTCTGGCAATTCTCACATGAGATTAAACTAGAGTCTTGCCCATAAAAAAGAGGGGAATGCTGGGTAAGTGTTGTACCCTTCTGGCAGGTCCGGCAGATATATCTTGATGACACATGAGGAGAGGGGAAAAAGTGAGCAATTTGTGTAACCAACAACAGCTTAATAAAGACTGATGATAAAAGCATGAGGTTAACTAGAGATGCTCTTTGCTGAGAAATTCAGCCATGCAAAGGGGAGGGGAGAGATGGGAGATAGTCCAAGGAGCTTTTATCCAGTTCTCTGCAAACTTTTCACCATCTACGGAAACTGCCTCAGCTCTGGAGGATCCATTAAAAGATGAACTGGCTGCCTGTCTTTGAAGATACATGGAGCTCCTGGCACAACTAGCCAGTGGGAGGAACAGAGAGATGGGTCTGTCATTTACATTAGCCTAAGAAATTGGAGCACTGACTGATGGCTTCCAAAGAGACCTTGCCTGAAGTAATGGAAAATGTAATGGAAAAATGAATTAGCCCTGGGTTTTCCTTTCCAACAAATTGCCATCAACAGGTTTCGTCCTATTCTTTTTGTAAGGTCACCAGGTACTCCTCAGCATAAAAAGTCAGCATATAATAGTTTTGTTTTAGGCAAAGGCGCTGCCAAGTACAAACAGTACTACTTGAAAAAAAAACAAAAAACTTATCCTTGGAATTACAAGCCTCTTGCAGGGAGGCAGAAGGGAGACCCAATACATAGAACTTGGTTTGTACCGAAAACACTCTGGAAATAATTTATGGCTAGTCCCTTCACACAATCCTTCACTCATTTACTCCTGAGGATGCAGACTATGATTCTTCCACATCATTGCCTTACAGGTTAAACCCACATTTTGAAGTGCTAGAATATGCATTTTAATTGTACGTATTTAATTAGTGCATTATTAAGCTTATAATGTGATTTACTATGATAGGTGAACTAGGCCACATTGTTAATATATGTGAATGTAGCTACCGGATATATCGTTAGGAATAGATGTAGTTATTGTCTCCCCTGCTTACTATCCTGTGCAAGCTTTCGGTGTCTTGTGCAATTCATTCATTGAATATACTGACAGCACAATTCTCTGTCTAAATGTTGCTTTCTAATTAAAGAGTTTGTAGAGTTGAATGTAAGGAGAGCTGATTATACTTCCAAGAGAAAAGCTTGGCCACTTAGAAGCAGAAATATATACCATTTGTAAAGCAGAAAGAGGGCCCAATAGGTTCAATTAACTTTTTCCAACTCATACTGACCATGTATAAAGGTTTTCACCGTGATGCTCCAGCATGTCCTTTCAAGTTTTCCAATGGTGCACTCATTGCCAATAGAACTGAGTTCATCCACCTTGTTGCTAATTGACATCTTCTTCCCTCTCACAGTCTTAGAACCTCTTCCAGAGACCTGGGTCTTCACATAATGTGTCTGAAGTGAAACAATTTGAGCCTGGACATTTGCACCTCATACAAGAACTCTGGGTTGTCTTGTTCAATGACTCGTCATAGAGGTGGTATTCAGCAGGTTTTGACCAGTTCTGGAGAACTGGTAGTGCAAATTTTGAGTAGTTCAGAATACCATCTCTGACTGGCTCCACACCCATCTATTCTCTGCCTCCTGAGTCCCAGCTGATTGGCTGGCTCTTCTTTTGTTGCCTTACACAGGAGAACGGAGCTGGAAAGCAGGTTAGTGGGGTGGGGAGGGAATGGGGATTTTACAGTATCCTTCCCCTGCCATGCCCACCAAGCCATGCCCACCAAGCCACACCATGCCCACCAAACCACGCCCACAGAACTGGTATTAATTGTTGTTAATCCCATCGACTCATTGGCTTGTCATCTTGGATATCCATGACATTCTCAGGAGTCTTCTCCGACACTAAAGTTCAAAGGCACCAATATTCTTCCTATCCTGCTTCTCTCAATTCCATAGAGTGCCACAGGGAATATTATGGCTTGCATGATTTTGGTCCTTATAAGTATAGACATATCACAGCATTTGAATATTTTTTTCCCCAAGGCCTTCCAAGTGGTAATCTGGGGCATTTCTTTTTCTTTCTTTATATTGTTGATGCTTGATCCTACAAGTTATAGAAACTCTACACCACTTTGGTCTCTTAATTTTCATTTCTAAGGCTGGTAGTTCTAACTTTTTATCATTAGTTTGGTTCTTTATATTTAAATTCTAGTTCTATGTTTTTCACTGTATTCTTTGACTTTTAGTACTACGGCTTGCAGATTCTTTGACATTTTCATCTACCAGGGGAGCGTTGTCAGCATAGTCAAGATTTGATGTGTCTTTTTCCAATTTTAGAATTGCACTATCTTCTTCCAATCCAGCTTCCCTTAATATATATTTGGCATTACAGTGGTTGAAATTCTGTCTAGGGCACAACTACTGTATAAAAAGTCCTCTTATGTTTTACACAAAAATCTTATAATGTTGAGGCCATGGAGATTCTCTAAGGCTGCTTAGAGCAAGGGTGGGCAACGATGGGAACCTTTACAACCTGTGGACTTCAACTCCCAGAATTCCTGAGCCAGCCATGCTTCTGGGAGTTGAAGTCCACAGGTCCTAAAAGGCCATAGTTACCTATCCTGGCTTAGAGTAAAAATGAATAGAAATAACATGAGTTTCTGCAACCACCTTTCCATCATTCCAAGGCAAATAAACCAGAGAGGAAGAAGGTCAAATTGATGAACATATTGTCCATTCCTTTCATCCAACTTTTAATGTAGTAGCAGTAGCAGGAGCTGCCGCCAGCCTCTCGGAGTGGCCAGGCCAAGCTTCCCTCAAAAGCATTTGGATACCCTTAAAAAGCAAACACAATTCATGTTGCTGTTGAAAGCTCCAGTAAAGTCAAAAATAAAGATATAGATCAATCCACAAAGTTAGAGGACATCTGAGTAGAAATGAAAAATTGTTCCTTTCCCTTTGTTGGATTCTCCCTGGTGAAAACAATGACTTTATCCAGAGGAAATTACATAGTTTTGGTTCTACAATTTTGTTTTAGCAATTATAATAAACAAATATATTACACTATTCAGTGCTTTACATGGCAGACTCTAAATCATGACAAAGTTGTGGAAGGTCCAGATGTAAGGATGGTTTGGCAACAATTCTGCTTAGTGGAAATTTAAGACTGCTTGTTTTTTTTTCCTCTCCTCTCTGCCTCAATATACTGTATGTTGAAACACATGTCCACAGACATCTGCACATTCCAGTTTCATCAGACAACTCCTTTCCTTTCAGACCTGGCTACAGTGGGAATGACGGAGACTGCGGTCATCATTTCAGTGAGTGCATAGTCATTACTGAAAGCCTCAAAATGGTGCTAGCATCTCAGAGATAGGAAACGGGCTTAATGCATCGCATTCAAAGCACTTACATATCCTCTTGATCTCCATGGGTATAAATGGACAGGCCTACAACAAACAGCTTTATAGGCATTTGCTTGAGAATGGGGTGAAATTCAAACATTTTCCCTACCGGCTCTGTAGTTACCACTGAGAAGGCACCATCTGATTTGCCCATACCTCCTGCATTTAATTCTCAAAGCCCCTTCCTACGTGTTTGGACTGAAGGGGGAGAAGAATTGACAATATAGTCCCTGAAAAGTCCCGATGCCAAGCTGCCATGCTTTATAGAGAAATGCAAAGCTCCAAAGCAGACTAACTTCCATTGTAATGATGTTCAGGAACTTCAACCTGAGAGTCATTTTGTCATAGTTTCTGCACCTAGCAGCTTGGCCCCTCCATTCTAGAGCATTCCAATTGCGGGCAAGGGTTAGCCCACAGTT